GCTGTAGCAGCGCTATAGCGCTGCTATAGCGCTGCACAGCAAAAACGCATAAAAACGCATTAAAATGAGCTTTGGCTTTCGCCTGTGTCGTGTGTTTGGATATACTAGGGACATTTGTGACAAAAAGCGATTTCACCAACCAGTCGTGCTGGGAAGTTGAAAACTTTACGAGGACAATGTTGAAACTTCTATGAAAATGTGCGACCTAAATTTTTTAAATTCAACGTCGAAGTATATCTACGTTTCACACGCGCGTAAGTGAATGCTTAGTTCGGGACGCTGATTACACCAAATTAATTCGGTAACCAGAGAGGCAGAGCAGTAAGGAGTATTTTTCTGTATTTTTGTTGTTCTTATGAACGCCACCAGGCTTAAAATAAGCTTCTGCTTGGTCATGGAACCTGCATACAGGCGCACCAAATGTTCAAATTGCAACACCGCAGTCACACTGCAATAATACAGGCGGCCGCTGTGCTCATTATGAAATCACGCAAAAACACATGGTCGCAAACCACTAGTGCGTCACTACTTGGGCTTTTTGTTCAAGTCCCTTTCCGGGCATGCTTATTATTAGCTTTTTTACCGGTTTGGTTAGACCTCCAGCTGTGCTCTTCCAGTTACTGTTAGCCAAAAAAGTACATTAACATAATGAAGTTTCGCAGTCTGCTGACTGCGAAACTTCATTATTAACTGTGCTTTGGCCATCTCCATTCTCATACGACTATAACAGGCATACCGGGCTGTGTATGTACGAGCGGTGAATAAATGATGGAGAAAATTTAAAAAAAAAAGACTGCTGCAGTTTTTTCGACACATCACTGTCGATACCGTACAGCGGAGTTGTTAACCAAGTTTACAAACTGAAAAAATGCGAGGTTTCAAATACGACTCGTTTACATTTATTCGAACCTGTACAATGAGATTTCACTCCAAAAATATCAAAAAACTAAATATTTGCTACAACTTGCACAAAAAAGTCTTATCAGCGTTTGCGTAACAAAAGCGCATTGTAAAGCAAACAGAACATATACTTTTTTATATACAATTATCGCTTTTAGTGCCATTTGTCATAATTGAGTTCGATCATTCTGGCCACTCATACCGTTTGTTATTGATTACATAACATTGTTAAAGATTGCTGTTAAAAATTAAGTGTCGCTTATCCGGTAGAAAGCAAGTAGATTCTTCTTTCAGTAGCGAACTGATTTTTGGCTCTTTGTTTCGGTATGCGTTTTTTGCATCGAGGCAATGCAAAAACGCATGTT